AACTTTGCAACTGCATGACACACAGGCGTATTCACGTAGTACTAGTCTAGCTAGCTACCGAGTTTTTGTACATGGCAAAATTCGACTCCAAAATTCGACTCCAAGAGCGCATTCGCACGCACACGGACACGCACGCCACGTCACGCCGCTACCTCAGACAGCGAAACATCAGGATCGCGAGCGGTGTGGCAACAGCATACCCCAAATTCCCAACCAGCAGCGCCGGCGTCTTGAGCCCCTCCCACCCGCAGCCCACTGCGAGCGCGCACGCGGTCGCGGGCCCGCCGATGTTTGCGTTGCTTGCGGTCAGCAGCAGCGAGAGCGGCAGCTCGGGCGCGCCCCCGACGAGCGCGTCGCACATCCCGCCCTCGGCCTTGGGCGGAGCGGCGCAGGCGCGGCGCGCGGCACGCAGCAGCGCGCCCAGCCCGAGGACTACGCTGAGGTGGACAAGGTAGAGGAGGAGGAGGAAGGCGAGCAGCAGAGGCGCCCCGCCCAGGATGGTGCCAAAATCGCCCCCGACCCAGCCCGCCTGAAGGAGAGGAGCACCCAATCAAGACGAGGGATGCGGGTCCAGCCCCCGCCGCGGGGCCAGCCCCCGCCGTCGCAAAGAAGAGGTAGAGCGCGAGTGTGCCCAACTTCTCGGCGGCGGCCGTCAGCGGCGCGAGAGCGGCGGGGAAGGCGGTGGCGGCCGCGACGGTGAGCGCTGTGGCGACGGGCAAGTCGTACCCCGGCACGGGGCAGAGGCGGCGGCTCAGCGCGACGGCCGCCACGCCCAGCGCCAAGGCGGACCCAAGCCGCGCGACGGATGCCTCGTCCCCGCCGTCCTCCGCCTCCTCCGCCGTCTCCACCTCGCCGCTACCGCCCGTCGCCGCCGCCGCCGCCGCCGCCGCCGCCGCCGCCGCTTCCGCTTCCGCCCCAGCCTCGCCGGCGTAGGGGTCGGGCTCGTCCCGCCCCAGGTACGAGCACAAGGGGAAGTAGACCAGCGCCATCACGTTGTCCGCGGCGAGCGCTGCAGCCAGCGGCGCCGGAGAGAGGCCGAGCGCGCCGGCCACCTGTCTCGACACACGGAGCGTCAAGGCAGCCTCCCTCCCACACGAGGCCCAGCGCAGCCCCGGCCACCGCCACAAAGTTGAGCCCGCCGCCGATGTTCTTGGCCGCGAGTGCCGCGACCACCTTGAGCGCATCGGCGCCAAAGGCAGACGCCAGCGGTCCGCGCAGCGCCGCCCAGCCCGCTAGTGTGCCGAGCACCGTGCCCAGGCAGCCGAGGGCAAAGGCGGGCATCAGTCGGCCGGCGCGGCTCGCTATCGCGCGCAGGTTGGCGCCGAAGAGGAGGAGCGGCGTCGCGAGGCGCACCGCAAGGCCCTGCGCCGCGCTCACTGGCGCCGACGCCGGCGGAAGCGCGCCCGTGCCCGCCGCCACGAAGGTGAGGCCCATCGCGCAGATCGGCCCCGTCGCAAGCCTCCCGAGCTTGGTGGAGACGCCGAGGCGGTAGCCGGTGGCGGCGGCCGTGGTGAGCACCGTGTAGAGCAGCCACTGGTCCGACGCAGCATCCGCCAGCAGGCTGGCGTGCGGAGTGCCGCAGCGGGCGGTGGTCGCCGTTCCGGCGGTACGCAGACGCTGACCAGCCGGGTTCTCCGGCAGCGAGGACCGCAGCAGTGGCGCCATCCGCAGGTGGACGGCGCGGCTAAGCGTTGGCAGCAGCACGCCGCGATGCGTTGGCGAGTGAGCAGTGGCGGTGGCGAGGCTGGTCAGGAGGAGGAGAAGCGGGAGCATGTCGCCTCGGCACGAGAGGACCTGCGTGGGCCTCCTCCTTTTGTTCTTCGCGGGCGCAGGCGAGACGACCTGCGTGGGGCTTGGACGCCTGTTCGTTTGGGCGGTGGCCGGTGGGCTGAAAAGAAAACGTCGCGCAACCGGGGCGGGGTGCGCACTGTGTTCGTGCGTCGCCCATCTCTACTGGAGGTGACTGCACACACACACACACACACACACACACACACACACACACACACACACACACACACACACACACACACACACACACACACAACACAACACACACACACACACACACACACACACACACACACACACACACACACACACACACACACACACACACACACACAATGCTCACACTGGTCACTGCGAGAGCGGGGAGGGGGTCGAGCCGAGAGCTTAAGGTGCACCTTAACAAGAACATGCAAACTCACACGCCAGTCGTGTCAGGGGCTCAGGGCCTGCAAACTGCGCAACGACTTCTGGCAAGGGACCTCGCAACTTAGTCGTTTGTAGTCAAGCGGATGCGGATGTTCTGGGCGGCCACGCCTCGACCTTCTTGGGCAGCAGCTGGTTCGACAGGTCTTCTCCGTGTCCTAGACAGGCGTCTTCGCCGCCCTTCCCCCACGTGAAGACGGGATTGTCGGCGGTGGTGGCAATGCTGTGGACTGCTCCCGCCGACACAGCGACGACGCGGCCGCAACCGTCGCCGGCGCGACACGTT